CAAAACAGGCATTATTAATTGCAGTTGTACCTACTCTGTGGCTAGAAATATATCACAAACCCCCCACCCCACCACACCCCACACCCCTCCAAAAAAAAATGAAAGAAAAAGTGAGCAAGCTCACATACCCCACGCTTCCCCAAAACTCGACAATGCAACACGTAATGAATGGCACAGTGCATTTTAAATACACAGTATAATTCAAACAAGAGGCCCATGGGCCACAACGCTCACCTGAGTCAATATGGCCCTGCTGTTCTTTGTCAGCAGATTTCTTCTTCTATATATTCATACGTAAAGCTTTGATCAACTGTTCTAGGCATAACCTATCCCCAGTTGCCATGTTTTGAATGAAATTGAATCTAAACTTTCTGAGGATGCTTCTATATTCATATAACTAATCATGGTTTTGCTGTTCTTGAAACGGAATTTTAAAGATGTTTGCCATCCTACCCTGGGGGGTAGGAAGGGAGGGGGGGTTCAAGATTTGAACAAACTTGAATATACACTACCTAAGGATGCTTCCATATCAATATGACTAATTATGGCTTTGTTGTTCTTGAGAAGAAGATTTTTTAAGATATTTCTTATATATATTCTTTTGTTAAACTTTGATCCCCGATTATGGCCCCACCACTACTACTGGAGGATGCCTTGAACAAACTTGAATCTACAATACTTGGGGATGCTTCAATATCAAAATGACTAATCACGGCTTTCCTGTTCTTGAAAAGATTTTAAAAGATTTTTCCTATTTATTCCTATGTAAAACTTTGATCCCCCATTGTGGACCCACCCTACCCCCGGGGATCTTGATTTCGACAAATTTGAATCTACACTACCTAAGGATGATTCCATATCAATATGACTAATTGTGGCTTTGTTGTTCTTGAGAAGAAAATTTTTAAAGAATTTTCCTATATATTCCTATGTAAAACTTTGATCCCCCATTGTGGCCCCACCCTACCCCCAGGGGTCATGATTTGAACAAACTTAAATCTACACTACCTGAGGATGATTTCATATCAATATGACTAATTGTGGCTTTGTTGTTCTTGAGAAGAAGATTTTTAAAGAATTTTCCTATATATTCCTATGTAAAACTTAGATCCCCCATTGTGGCTCCATCCTACCCCCGGGGGTCATGATTTGAACAAACTTGAATCTACATTACCTGAGGATGATTCCATATCAAAATGACCAATTGTGGCTTTGTTGTTCTTGAGAAGAAGATTTTTAAAGAATTTTCCTATATATTCCTATGTAAAACTTTGATCCCCTATTGTTGCCCCACCCTACCCCCGGGGGTCATGATTTGAACAAACTTAAATCTACACTACCTAATGGTGATTTCATATCAATATGACTAATTGTAGCTTTGTTGTTCTTGAGAAGAAAATTTTTAAAGAATTTTCCTATATATTACTATGTAAAACTTTGATCCCCCATTGTGGCCCCACCCTACCCGCGGGGGTCATGATTTGAACAAACTTAAATCTACACTACCTGAGGATGATTTCATTTCAATATGACAAATCATGGCTTTGCTGTTCTTGAGAAGAAGATTTTTAAAGAATTTTCCTATGCATTCCTATGTAAAACTTTGATCCCCCATTGTGGCCCCACCCTACCCCCGGGCATCATGATTTGAACAAACTTGAATCTACATTACCTGAGGATGATTCCATATCAAAATGACTAATTGTGGCTTTGTTGTTCTTGAGAAGAAAATTTTTAAAGAATTTTCCTATATATTCCTATGTAAAACTTTGATCCCCTATTGTGGCCCCACCCTACCCCCGGGGGTCTTGATTTGAACAAAATTAAATCTACACTACCTGAGGATGATTTCGTATCAATATGACTACTTGTGGCTTTGTTGTTCTTGAGAAGAAAATTTTTAAAGAATTTTTTCTATATATTCCTATGTAAAACTTTGATCCCCCATTGTGGCCCCACCCTACCCCCGGGCATCATGATTTGGACAAACTTGAATCTACACTACCTGAGGATGATTTCATATCAATATGACTAATTGTGGCTTTGTTGTTCTTTAGAAGAAGATTTTTAAAGAATTTTCCTATATATTCCTATGTAAAACTTTGATCCCCTATTGTGGCCCCACCCTACCCCCGGGGGTCATGATTTGAACAAACTTGAATCTACACTACCTGAGGATGATTTCGTATCAATATGACTAATTGTGGCTTTGTTGTTCTTGAGAAGAAGATTTTTAAAGAATTTTCCTATATATTCCTATGTAAAACTTTGATCCCCCATTGTGGCCCCACCCGACCCCTGGGAGGTCATGATTTGAATAAACTTGAATTTACACTATGTAATGAAGGTTTCACATAAGTTTCAACTTCTCTGGCCCAATGGTTCTTGAGAAGAAGATTTTTAAAAAAAGACACCAAATTTTCACTTATTCTTAATTATCTCCCCTTGGAAGAGGGCATGGCCCTTCATTTGAACAAACTTGAACCCCCTTCACCCAAGGATGCTTTGTGGCAAGTTTGGTTGAAAATGGCCCAGTGGTTCTGGAGAAGAAGTCGAAAATGTGAAAACTTTACAGACGGACGGACAGACGGACAGACGGACTACGGACAAAATGTGATCAGAAAAGCTCACTTGAGCTTTCAGCTCAGGTGAGCTAAAAAGGGGCATTACTTGCAAAAAATCATCACATCAAAACTTCTTGCATATAAGGACATTCAAATCTTTGTATGTTACAAATTTAACTGGGCTGAAGTTTCTAGATAAACAATGGAATCAAAATTTCTTGGTAATATACAAATCTATACATTATTCTGAAATACCTACAAAGTTTCAGGAAATTCAGTGCCGGAATTATGCTGACAAACTGTTATTTAAATTCCTCAGTGATTTCGATTTGTTAATGAGTGTAAGTCCATGTCCAACACATGACAGTTTACACATTTAAATAATTGATGGAAACAAAATTATGATGTAGTCATATGAATCTGTTTATATACTGTACTTATGAAATTATTTAAGGCAAAGCACACCAATTTGAAGGGGGGGGGGGGGGGGGGGAGAGAACTATCGAAGATGGTGTGTGTGTGAGTGTGTGTTTGTGTTAAACCATTAATATTTTGATCTCAAAATCAATAGGGGTCTTTTAAGGTCATAAAATATTTCACATAGAATTTCATTATAAAAAGCTGATTCCAGTGGAGTTTCTTATTACCTAGCTGGAAAGTTTCTTCAATAAAAGGCAAAACTCTTAAGGCAAAAATAATGGAATCGGAATTTCCTGGTAATATGCACATCTACACACTGTGTACTAAATATCTGCAAAGTTTGTCCAAATTCTGTGCAGCGGTTTAAGAGGAGTTGTGCTGACAAACTGTTCATCTCTATATTCAAGATATGGCCAAAAACCTAAGTTGAAAAGTGCCGAAATTCCCAGAAAAAATAATGGAATCAGAATTTCCTGGTAATATGCACATCTACACACTGTGTACTAAATATCTGCAGAGATTGACCAAATTCTGTGCAGCGGTTTAAGAGGAGTTGTGCTGACAAACTGTTCTTTATATTGAAGATATGGCCAAAAATCTAAGTTGAAAAGTGTTGAAATTCCAAGAAAATATAAAGGAATCGGAATTTCCTGGTAATATGCACATCTATACATTGTGTGCTAAATATCTGCAAAGTTTGACTAAATTCTATGCAGCGGTTTAATAGGAGTTGCGCTGACAAACTGTTCACCTCTATATTCAAGATATGGCCAAAAACCTAAGTTGAAAAGTGCCGAAATTCCCAGAAAAATAGGAATCGGAATTTCCTGGTAATATGCACATCTACACACTGTGTACTAAATATCTGCAAAGTTTGACGAAATTCTGTGCAGCGGTTTAAGAGGAGTTACGCTGACAAACTGTTCATCTCTATATTCAAGATATGGCCAAAAATCCAAGTTGAAAAGTGCTGAAATTCCCAGAAAAATAATGGAATCGGAATTTCCTGGTAATATGCACATCTACACATTGTGTCCTAAATATCTGCAAAGTTTGACCAAATTCTGTGCAGCGGTTTAAGAGGAGTTGTGCTGACAAACTGTTCATCTTTATATTGAAGATATGGCCAAAAACCTAAGTTGAAAAGTGCCGAAATTCCAAGAAAATATAAAGGAATCGGAATTTCCTGGTAATATGCACATCTATACATTGTGTGCTAAATATCTGCAAAGTCTGACCAAATTCTGTGCATTGGTTTATGAGGAGTTGCGCTGACAAACTGTTCATCTCCATATTCAAGATATGGCCAAAAATCTAAGTTGAAAAGTGCCGAAATTCCGAGAAAAAATAAAGGAATCGGAATTTCCTGGTAATATGCACATCTACACATTGTGTCCTAAATATCTGCAAAGTTTGACGAAATTCTGTGCAGCGGTTTATGAGGAGTTGCGCTGACAAAAAAACAGGACTGACGGACTGACTGACTGACACACTGACTGACTGACTGACGGACGGGTCAAAAACATTATACCTCACGCAACTTGTTGCGTGGGGTATAAAAACAGTGGGAAGTGGCAAGTTTAACATGTCCTTAATACTAGTTTCAATATAATAGCAAGTGTAGTGAGGACTAAAGACTAACATTTAAAAACAACAGAAATATGAATTGAAAGCTGCAAACTTGTCAAGCAACTTCAGTGTGAAAGTTAATTCCAAGAATTTATTCTTTCACTACCACAATTCCTTACCAATAATATATAAATATGGCATGTAGCTGAAGGTAACATTGAAAATTTTCACTCCAAGAAAACTGATGTGCAGCCAAGGTTGACAATCTTTTTCAAAAGTAAAGATTTTTATGTCACCTTCATTTGTTTTCAAATTCATTTTTCATTTACCCCCCCACCCCCCACCCCCCCAAAAAAAATTTATTATGTGTAACATCGAAGATTATACCTTATCTCCCCATTAATGATTCTATTCCCTTACAGAGCCCCTTGCTGATACATCACTTACCCCCTTCCTTGTCTGTGAGGACTAAAGTGTGGGCACGCCCACAAGAGACATCTATCACCTCAGTAGATTCGGGGCACTCCAAGGGTAGAGGAATCAGCACAGGTTCTATTATGTAATCCAGCACTGTATCTGTGATTCAAACACTTATTTTCAGTTGAAAAAAATCAGTTTCTATCATACTTATCTGTCTCCAATAATACAACCAACTTTTATGAAAAAGAAAAGTACTTAGTCGCTATATTTAAAGATTTCATATTTTTTTTCCATTTCAGAAAGATTAGCAACTACAGAAAAGAGGCCCAAGGGCCACAATACCCACCTGAGTCACATTTCTGATAAATAAATATGCAGATAAATGAAACCCCTTTTGGTATGAACTTCCATGATTTCAACAATTTTTTAAAATTAGGCATATATTGGCTGGATATCAAGGTTACAATTGTAGCCTTTATTTCTGTCACAGTGATAAACTTTGACCTCTGTTGTAATCACATCATAACCCCTGGGGCAGGGCTCTTATTGGGGACTAATTAAGTAATTGAGTCACCATGGTGCCTAAAATTTTTTATTGGTGCCTAAAACTTCTCTATAAGTCGCCAATTTGGCAACCATTTTAAATTGACTTGGCGATCGTCAAATTCCAGAACTATCAACATTTTGCTCCTAAAGAGGAGGAAAGAAGATTAATATTTAGCAATGGACATGTCTTGTGTTCTCTTTGTCATTTTTTCTGTTTTTTTAGTCAGACACCTGCAAACGAAATTTCGCATCTCATCAGTGCACACACATCCCAGTTAGTTCATCGATTGGAGAACAATTCTGAAAGAACCCTCCTTTCCTGTGACTAATTCAGTGGATCTGTATATTGACAAACATCAGCTTTTAAATTTGCCTGGTGACTAAAAAATCGCACCGGCGACTAAATTTTTTTGATTAGGAGCCAGCAGGCGACTAAATTTTAGTGGTCACTTAGAGGCCTTCTCTGGGGCCATGATTTGAACAAATTTGACTCCACACTATAAAAGGAATATTTTATAAGAGGTTTATTTTTTTCTGGTCCAGTGGCTCTTTAGAAGGTTTTGAAATGACCCCTACCATATTTTTGTTTATCTATTGATCTTCTGTTCTTGAAAAGGTTTATAACCCTTCAGTTGTAGTAACCTGAATCTCCTTCACCCAAGAATATGTTCTGCCAAGTTTGGTTAAAAATTGGCTCATTGTCGAGTAATATTGGAGAAGAAATTGAACATCTGCAAGGTTAGCAGAGAACAGTATTCAGACAATAGACAGACAATGAACAATTTTGACCAGAAAAACTCCTTGGGCTTTTGGCTCAGGTGCGCTAAATGTCAATCAAGTTCATGCTGTTTTTCTACCTTTTAATTGCTAACCTGTTTTGGCAGTGCTTTTGTGGAATCCAAGCTGAGAGTCAGTGTTGATTCCACAACCATACAGTTTTCTCCTCCCATCAGTTCCTTGTAGAATTAAGGCTGTAAAACCATACCCACAATCCAGAGATCTGGCCTACAAAATCAAAGTATTGAAAGGCTTCATGGCACAATGGAACAGATGGTATGTATATATGTGAATTATGGAATTTTCTGTTGGAGACAAGTTGACCCCTGCAAGTGACTTTTCTTATAAACACTTCAAGAGTGTTCTGATCTATTAATCATCCCATTGGACACTCAAAACAAATTATATATCTGATTAAAAATCAAATACAAATGCATATTTCATATTACAGTAAAACTTGTCTAATCCAGACATGAACACCACTAGTTCAAAATAAATTGGCCGGATTATACAACATTCAGAATTAAACAAAATTTAAAACGATGGAATTTACTGCAATGGGACTTGTTTAACACCCTATTAGACAAGATTTCGGATTAGACAACATCCGGATTAGACAAGTTTCACTGTACTTAAATAGGTAATAAAGTTTTCATGAAGTTTATCGACCATATATGGGACCTTTTTTACTCTGTGTGATTGTAACAATACAGCTTGACTCACCATTAGATTGTTCTCCAGTAGAAATCGCAGTCTTGCCGGTCTACTCATCTGTGCCAGAAATTTCTGTTTCTTTTCCTTATTCCTAATGTATGAGCTGATGCCTAAATGAGTGAATCTTGTGTAATTATCTGATTTATGTTCAAAGCTGCAATATAAATTTCCATGTTAGTAAATATAACATTTATATTCAGCATATCAACTCCAGAGATATTTTTAGTCAGATAGTACCTGGAATTTTTTCATGATTTTTTGTCACACACCTTTTGTATTATTTTTTAGAAAGTTTTAAAACAGTGAAATTATTTAGAGAGAGAGGTGGGGGGATACTGTAAGTAAAGAATTCCTGGAGTGAGGTGCTCTAAAAATCAGGCAAATATTGTTGTGATCAGTTGCCTATTAATGATCAAGCTGGGTGAAGCACTTAACATGTAGGTACACAAAATATCCATGATTTACATCATTATTAGTCCCCTACCGGTGAAACCGGAGGGGACTATAAGTTTCCTCTGAGTCTGTCTGTCCGTCTGTCCCTCTGTCTGTCTGTCAGTCTGTCCCACTTGGTTTTCCACACTTTTTCCCTAAACGCTTGCAGATATTGAGCTGATTTTTGGTATGTGAGTGTATCTTGATGAGTTAGAGATCAAGTTTGCATTTCGTTCCGCTTCACTGATTTTTGACGGAATTATGGCCTTTTCAATTTTTAAGGGTTTTCCGCAATTTTCTTCTAAACGCTTTCAGATATTGAGCTGATTTTTGGTATATGACTTTACCTTGATTAGTTAAAGATCAAGTTTGCATTTTGTCCCGCTTCATTGATTTTTGACGAAATTATGACATTTTCAATTCTTAACGGGAACCAGATTACACTTGCTGGTAGAGGACTAGTATTGCTAATGCAATACTCTCAGAATGCTTGTTAAGTGGGTGAACAAACACTTAACATTTACACAAAATAGTCATACTTACATTATCATCCTTACCCAGAGCCTCTGTTGATGCACACCCCCACACATACACCCTCTCATTCTTACCGAGTTCTTACCCAGTACCCCTGTCAATGCACACCCCCAGACACACACCCTTTCATCCTTACCCAGAGCCCCTGCTGATGCAAACCCTCTTATACTTACCCAGAGCCCCTGTCGATGCACATCCCCACACATACACTCTCTTATACTTACCCAGAGCCCCTGTCGATGCACATCCCCACACATACACCCTCTCAGCTTTAGGCAAGTTATCTAAGGCATGGAGTTTTTTCCTAATCTCTGTTTTTCTGGATGACTTAGGTAATTGTGAGTAGCCTCTTTTCTGTGTCTGTACTAAGCAGGCCCTGGGAAACTTCATGCCACATGACACACAGGTGAAGAATTCTCTCATAAGTTTACTCTTAATCTGATGCATTTTTTCCTACAAAAGAATTCAATAAAAAATTACAATTTAATTGTTCCAGTAATTGTACATGTAGCAATTGCTTTGATACTTTTCAAAGACATAAACTAACCACAAAATTAATAGGAAAAATCATGTATACATGTATTTATAAAATTACATAAGAATTTATACAATTAAGGCATGACTGACTCGACCAAAATATTTCATGCATCACAAACTATCAAATTAATCAAGGTACATCCTTAATTACCAAGTACAATAGTTTAGAATAATATATTATACAAACATGTTTGTTAATGAAAGCAACCTCAGGGTACTTGAAAAAATTGGAATGACATATATCATATCACCAGACCTGATCAAACTGAAATAAATTCACTTCCAACATTTTAAGCAGTGTCTTCTTGATTATAAGTTGATGAATTTTGTTAAGAAATGAAAGTAAGCTAAAGTATAGTAGGAATTTTTAGCGGGGTGCTAACTTTGGTTTATTATAGCGGTTTTAAAGTAGCCCACTAAAATTTTAATCGCTAAATTTGCACCCTTGCTTTTGAGTACTAAATACAAGAAAAATAACCTTGTTCAGTCTGTTGTTAAACAAAATATCTCTCTTCTGGTGTTGGTTTTTACTCAAAATCTTGCCTAAATCAGTATTCAAGCGTAGATTAAACGTACTGAAAACACATCCAGAAGATGAACTTCCTCTACTTTACACATCAAGGAACTGTTTGTCCGCCAAAAAAAATTTCCGCCAAAATTAATGGCATACCTTTGAGCAAGCAAAAGGCCAAATTTTACACCCTCTAAAGAAACCTGCTATATGGTATTTTATTCTTTACATTCAGGAAATGAACAGAAGACATATGATGCCCCTATGATTCAACTCTTGCTGCACTGTAGTAATAACAGGGCTAGACAAATAGCATTGCCCGACGCCCGGGACAACCAATTTTGTTTGGCGGGCAAGTTATTTGATAAGTGGTACCTGCCCGCGGACAAGTGCTTCTCCAGTTAACAAAAAATCAAATGTTGTTTGTTTTATCGCTGTTGAAATGTAATGAATCACAGTAGAGCACCTGTTTTTCGCTGCTGTTCATCACTACATCGAATACTCGGTCGGAACTCCTCTAGAATTTACCCATTTATGTGTAGTTAAAATACACACAGGACGTAAAAACATAGCAGCTATCGATTCCATGTCAAAAAAGTTGAAGAGGATTTTAGACCTTTTTAGGTATTGTAAAAAATAATGTAAAAATTCATGCTGTGAGTACAAACGTGTTATACTGATATTAAAATTGGAGCTGTTGACTGGCGATCACTGAAAGTCACAATCGACATGCAGTGGTGGTTTTCATAATCAAATGCTTTATAATATTCAAAAAAAATTTTTTTTTTCTCTTTCAGTATCTTGGGGATGTTAAAGTAATACAGAGAAAAGTTTAAATTATGCGCACTGCACAAGCTAAGAAATCTCCCTGGAACAAGACTTACCCCTAAATTTTTCCGTGCAAAAAATTAAGTGATTTTATGTCTAGTTTGGTCCCCATGTAGTGTATCAGTTGAGAAATAATTTAATGTTTAACGATAATGCTTTAATTTTATGTTAATTAAGAAAAAGTGGGACAAGCATATTTTTGGTAGGACAAGTAATTTTACGATGGTAACCTGTCCGAGGGCAAGTACTGAAAAATTCTATTTGTCTACCCCTGGTAATAACCTTCCATGGAAATATCTGAGTGAGTCATCTTTGCATAATAAACCTGTTAGTGTAGGAAAAGTTGATTAATTTCTGAAATGTGATTACATTATTGATGGCAAGAAATAGAAAAATCACAAATACCATAATAAAGGATACCTAACTGAGGTGGCGAACATTTTTGCAATGTTAAAATCACCACACACTTTGAATTAACAGCCATATCAACATACTTACTGAACTCACAGAATCATTTCAAAGCAGAACATTTAGAAAAAATACTTCATTAATTGACACTAGTTTCTAAACAAAGTTATTAGTGTATTTTGAGGTATAATGCAAAAGTGATGACGTTGGTTTAACAGAGATATATATATGCCTCTACTTGGATTTGAACCCAGGACATCTGACATGCCAGTCCAGTCCTCTACCAAGCTAAAAGGTTAACCCACTAGCCCAACCTAGAAAGAAGCCATGCACCACACTACCAGGCCAATAATAAACTAGAAATATGTACATAGGACATGAATGTCTTGCCAAGAGTATATTAGTTATACAACATAAAAATTTGTATTAGTATATGAAGTTTGATGAGAATATCTTGAATAGTTTCTTTAAAATTGAAATTTAAATCTAAACCAGAAGTCTCTGTCAAGACTGTAGCTCTACTTGTTTGTACTTATAACAAAGGAAGAGAAAAGTACCGGTAGCACTTGGACTTGAAACTTTGCAACAGCAATGAATAAGTAATAATCCTTGTTTTACTCTCTTTTTGTTGCAAAATGAATTGCAATCAGACTAAAACAGTAGAAAGAGTAGCCTTTTAAAAGAATTTTAGAGAAATTTTGAATCTAGTTACCATGGCAACATCATTCATCAAAATCAAAAAAAATAAAAACTATTATGTATCTCAGTGTAGTCTACTTGCATGCCATGTTATATTAAAATCAGACCAAACTGTAGGCAAAGTAATATTTTGTTTGTTTGTTTTTAACATCCCTCTCAAGAATTTTTCACTCATATGGAGACGCCACCACTTGCCAATGGAGAGCTGCAAATCTTGACCTATGCTCGGCACTCAGGGCCATTGAGCAGTAAGAGATCTTTTTCGTGCCAGCACCTACTGCGACATGGGACCTTGGTTTATACATTCTCATACGAAGGACCGGTCTCCATGTCCCACAGTGGGATTCAAACCCGTGACATAAGGATCAATTCCTTACTCTGCGACTCTAGAGCAAACGTTCTACCACTGCGCCACGTGGGTGACAAGTAATGTTTTGAAAGTATTTCAAAGAAATTTCAGCTTTTTTAAAAAAAAAAACTCGTCTTTTTTGTAACCATGGCAACACTTCATCAAAATCAAAAAATGGATATACAGAATTATGTATCTCAGTGTAATCTACTTGTGTGCCAAGTTATATTGAAATCAGACCAATACTGTAGGAGGAGTAGAGTTTTGAAGGTATTTCACAGAAATTTCTATTTTTAGTAACCATGGCAACATCGTTCATCGAAATCAAAAACCAATACAGGGAATTATGTATCTTAGTGTAGTCTACTTGTGTGCCAAGTAATATTGAAATCAAACCAAAACTGTAGGAGGAGTAGCATTTTGAATGTATTTCACAGTAATTTCTAATTTTAGAAACCATGGCAACAACATTCATCGCAATCAAAAACTGATAAATATAATTATGTATCTTTGTGTAGTCTACTTATGTGCCAATTTATTTTGAAATCAGACCAAAACTGTAGGAGAAGTAGCATTTTAAAGTATTTCACAGAAATTTCTATTTTTAGTAAGCATGGCAACACCATAAATTGAAAATCAAAAACCGATACATAGAATTATGTATGTTAGTGTAGTCTACTTGTGTGCCAAGTTATATTGAAATCAGACCAAAACTATAGGAGGAGTAGCATTTTGAAAGTATTTCACAGAAATTTCTATTTTTAGTAACCATGGCAACACCATTCACCGGAATCAAAAACTGATACACAGAATTATGAAACTTAGTGTAGTATACTTGTGTGCCAAGTTACATTGAAATCAGACCAAAACTGTAGGATAAGTAGCATTTTGAAAAATTGTTTACAGACAGACAGACAGATGGACAGACAGACAGACAGACGGACGGACGAAGGACAACTTACTATCGCAAAGGCTATTCTGGTCTGTGACCAGTAGAGCTAAAAATTGGATATAGATAATAAATTCTCACGAAATTATGTATAAATGCATAAGCTTACATCAAATATCTAAATGACTTCTTTAAAACTAAGCAAAATGCAAATTTAAGAAAAGTGAGGTCAAGGTCATGGGAAAGTTCAAGGTCAAAAGTTTTTGATGCAATTGAATAGCTCTCACTAATATATATCAGTATGTATTAGCATATAAAGTTTCACAAAAATATCATAAATGGTGTCTTTGAAACTGAGCTAAACACTAAATATAAGAAAAGTGAGGATAAGGTCAAAGGAAAGGTCAAGGTCAAAAAATGTTGACACAGTTAAATAACTTTTAATTTCACTGGTATGTATCAGTATATGAAGTTTGATAATAATATCTTGAGTGGTTTCTTTAAAACTGAGCTAAAACTAATTTAAGAAAAGTGAGGTCAAAGGAAAGGTCAAGGTCAACAGATGCAGTTGAATAGCTTACTTCAGTATGTATCAGCATATGAAATTTGATATCACTATCTTGAATGGTTTCTTTAAAAGTGAGTTAAAAACAAATTTAAGAAAAGTGAGGTCAAGGTAAAAGGAGAGATCAAGGTCAAAAATGTTGATGCAGTTGAATAGCTCATATCAATATGAATCAGCATATGAAGTTTGATAAAAAATACCTTGAAGAGTTTCTTTAAAACTTAGCTTTGACGTGAGCTAAATGCAAAGCGCAATGGAAGGACAGAAGACAGGCATGACAAACTCTATATGCCCCAGCCATATCCATGGCGAAGCATAAAAACAAGGTGCGGATAATCAGATCAAACAAAACGCGAAGCATCGAGCTCAATACAGCTCTTCGGATCAA